AAACTGACCCAGAATCCAAAAGTGAATTCACTTCAGCTGCAGATTGTATTGTCATTTTCCACAGCAGCACAATATATAGCTTTCATCTGCTGCTAGCTGTGAACATTTCAGATTTTTGAGCTTGATAATTGGATATCTGTTACTGTAATGCACCTTGGGAATTGTAGTTAATATCTTATTCTTATCTGAAAAAGTTCTTTGACTTTTTATCAAAGAGACCAGATTTTTCTAACGCAATTGTTCATAATGTTTCAACCGGGAGAGTTTCATGCAGATCCAAGCCATAGTAGAGCTCCAACTGTTGGTCACTTAACACTGACTTTACTTAAAGTCCAAAATAACTCCCTTTTACTCCAATACTGTAATTTCATGTACACTTACGTTGAGTTTTACCTCAAACTACTTCCCCCACTCAAAGTGGTTAAGATAATCTGGCATGTTAACGCCATGTCTGATCTTCTGACCTTGTGTCTTTTCTTTCCCTGTAAGACTTTGTTATAATAATGTTGTTGTATTCCCAGATTTATTATAACAGATAGAATGGCAGAAACAATTTGGAGAAGAAAAACCCTAAGGACTCTTTATTTACCCGTGGAAGTCATATGAAAATATTTCAAGATAGTGCTAAACAAGCAAGGAATACATATTTTTCCCACCCGATTGCCTCTCAAAGCCACAGTCCCAGGGTTTTACTTCAGACCACTGATTCAGTCATCAGCCCTCCTCTTACCCAGTTCCCTAAAGTCACCACAGCAAAATGTGAAGAGTTCTTCAATCACTTCAGTCACTTAATAATAAAACAGAGGAGACAAAGCTACAAATGTCTCCCCCATCATGTGAAATATCTCGCCTGTCCTAAGCTGGTTCCTTTGTTCACTCATTTTCGCTGCCATGAAATCCTCTTCTTGCACTCTAGATTTCTAGCCCACCTGGTTTTTAAAATGTGTTTCATTCACACCATTGAACCTAATATTCTTTCCATTATTAACTCTTATCTTTCCAGTGCCACTTTCCCATCTAATTTGCTGAAAAAGTCAACCCTTTAAAAACATTTTTATGCCAAAGCTTCACTTTTCATCACAGAGTTTAGAAAAAAACATTTGTAATCAATTTTTTTTGTGAACAAAAGCATATTTGAACAATTGCAATCTGGCTTTTGTTCATTTCAAAGCACTAAAATCCCTCTAATTAAAGTGCTCGCTGCTCTCTGCTGACTCTGCTTACTGTGTTGTTTTAAACCCGCTTGATTTGACTTGTGTGTTTGACACTGTTGACCAATCAATTTGAACCGACCATTTGTAAAAATGGGTTGGTATCAAGGACACAGCTCTTGATTGGGTTCGCTACCTTTGTGATAGGGGTGTCATCCACACCTGCACCCCTTGTATCCCCTCAATTTTAGATCCACTTTTACTATCCATTTACATGTTGCCACTGGGTCACATATCTGAGAAAACGCTATATTGATTTTCATGTGCATGCTGATAAATCAATCGAAGTCAGACTTCTCTGTGAGCTCCTCTACAATCCAAACTTGGTTGTTTATCATCAAAGGTACAACGAGTCTGCTCGCAGTCTAGGGGGTTCAAACCTATCATTTAACAACCAAGTTGCAAAATTATGCTTCCTTCAGCTAAGGACAATATCTAAAATTAAATCATTTCAAACAGCTGCAGAACTTGAGAAAGCAATCCAGGCCTTTATTTCGGTCTTGGACGACTGTAATTCTCTTTAGTCCAGTGTGAGACAACTTATAGTCTGTGCCTTTGAGCTTGGGAACTCCCTGCCTGGGTTTCTCAGGACATCTCTGTAGCGTCTCTCATGTCACATCTTAAAACTCTTACTTTTATTGAGTTGCCTTTTTAAAAACTATGACTGTTTCCTGTTTTGATCTATTTATTATTATATTTGATAGCATTAATTCGGTACAACACTTCTGCAATAAGTATTCTTACAATGATCCGATTCAACTTTGTCGTAATTTTTCAGGTCGTAGTTAGATTTCTCTGCATTCTATTCTGAAAAGTTCCCTTTATTTTGTCCACCCTGCTACATATTCCCACTGGTGCTGTCAGTGTACAAGCCCCTCCAAACCCCTTTTCCTCTCTTCCTCGTTAAACCAGCATCTGCTGAGGTAAGAGGCCTAAAACCCCCTACATCACACACATACACACACTTTCCCCCCTCCCTTGCACTGCATTCTCTCGAGCCTGCCATCTGCCACAGAGTTGGACAAGACCCCACTAACATGGCAGCCACACACACACACACACGCCCGCGTGCAAAAACACACACACACACAACCTCACTTCAAACCCTTGCGATTGCTGGAAAACATTTTCAGTACAGATGCACATGAATGCACACAATACACTCACTCACGCACACACACATACTACACGACCCAAAGTTAGCCAGGCTGAATATTTAATGAGGAACCCCCCATAAACAAAACAGCTTGCAGGGTCATAATGGTTTCGAGTGAAGCCCCACCCCGAAGCACAGAGCAAGTGAACTCCTCCCCTCTACTGTGTGACTGGCCTGAAGAGGAGGAGAGAGGAAGGGCAGAGACGGGAGGACAGAAGGAGAACAACAAACTCTAATTACTCCTCTGTGGCTCTCGAGCCCCTCCAGCACTTTCGTTTCGGGAGTTAAAAGAGAGAGAAGGAGGAGAACAGAAAGGAAAAGCGAGGAGGGTGATAACAGAAAAGAGACCCGTGCTGATTGAACATGAAACATCTCCCCGTGGCTCCCTCTCTGTCTCCTCTCTTCTTTCCCTCTCTGCTTGTTGTACATAATGCCCCCTCACTTTCACTGCAGTTGTTCATCACCCCTCGGTTATCCATAGTGAATAATGATGTTTCCTCTTGGAGAGAAAGAGGCAGAGGAGGAAGCCTAAGGCAATGCATTCTGATGGTCTAAGCATTCCCCAGTCACCCTCAGCTCGGGCAAAATCAACAGTCTAGCAATGAGGGAGAGAGGACGACTGAGCCGCCTCCTGCATCCATATTCTCTGGGTGTTGTTATTGTTGGTTGTGTTTTACTCATTATTTACAATCTGTATCCCCCACAAGTCCCTCTGCATTTTACCCTCCTGCAAATACACAAGGAGGCGGGACGATAGATGAACAGTGGGTGACGAAGACGCTGCTGTCATCTTTCCCAAACAGACCCGGGCAAATTAACTACATTATGTCTGCTCTCTGGGGATGTTGCCTCTCGCCTGCCCCTGCCATGCTCGTCACTGCCACCCGGTCGGAGCCCGTGGAGGGGGCAAAGACACTTGAGAGGTTCCTTCCAAAATAAGCTGAAGCTGAAGAGACAGCTGGGCCCCACTCCAGAGTCTCCGGCTATTTGAAAAAGGCTGCTCAGTTCATGGCAGCCAGCCACAATACATTTAATTTTTTGTGGGATTATTTAGTTTGTTTCTAATATTTTTACTTTATGTTATTATTTTACTATTTTTTGTCACTTTCTCCAAATAGATTTGAATCTCTCAACTGTACCAGGCTATGGTTGACTGACAGGAAAATTGAGGTGGTTTGAAGTGTTTTTTTTTTTTTTTTGTCATATCCCACAAGCTAATAAAATCCTTCATAACCAGGCCATGTGCAGCATTATGGTCCTGCTGTAATAGAACCCATTAAAGACACATTATCTGGTTCAGTGTGTCTCTCCACTGCCTGTGCTGATGTAGGATGAAATGGGCCATTCTAATCCTCATTAACATAGCTAATTTCACATAAGAGAAAGTTGATTGTGGGTGTCAAAACCATTCAAGGCACTAAAAGCATCATTTGATATGTAAGTACGCATGCGCAAGTGTGTATTTCTGTATGTATGGTTGTGTAAATCTGTTTGAACATTTACTAGGTGTTCTGTTACATATACTGTAAGCCTTTTTCATAGGCAAAGCAGTGTGAATGCCACTATAGTATAGTATTTGACAAATAGGCAGAGCAGGCAGAGCAGTGCATGATCAAATGGATAAAGTTGCCAGAGCCAGCAGATGACAGTTGGCCGTGCACACAGGAGCCAAGATGGGATTAAAAGAAGGGATAAGGAGAAGAAAGGGCAACAGATATTCATCCTTCCCTCTGAGTCTGTAAGGGCTACAGCTAACCTTTGGTCTGAGGGATGAAACAGGGGGGAACAAACGTGACATGTTGCTCCTTCAACACAAAGCCATGTCACCGGGGAAAGAGGGGACAAGTCTGACATTAGAGGCATGACAATGCTGCCACATGACCTTTAAAGGCGACAATTAACTGAACGTCACACTGTTCATGCCAGCTGCGTTTGGCTGTATGCCGCATGTGTCCGACTGCATACAAAAACGAAGAGAGATCATTTAAGTGTTGGTGATAAATCAACACCAAAGGCATATTTTGAGTTTTTAACCTCTTAAAGGGCCCTGGTTCACTGATTTGTAGGTCAAAAACTGGGCTAAAGTTTTTAGGATGGGTTAATATTGAGGATGTTGTTTCAACGACAGTAGCTGGTTCTAAAAACATGATAAAATATAATCACTGAAATGCTGGTTATATGCCACCTGGACATTTAAAATAATTACTTTTCAATCACATTTTCCTCTTCAACTAGACATCTAGTCTTTTAACCTGTTATTTATTCTTTGGGTCTAAACTGACTTTAGGTGATTAACTTGTTCTTTGTGTGACATGAAGAAACACCAAATCTGAATGTCAAAGAAATATCTTACAAGAGATGCTAGAACCTTTGGGAATTGAATGTCTTGTATGCTAGTGTCTTTGCACACAAAAGGAAACCGACTGAAGTTACACAAGTCACTCAAAAAATCAGCGTCCTTCTTCGCTATCACTCCACAAACACCTGCTGATGTTTTGTGTAAACAAGCATGTGCCAAAATGGGTAATCTTTTACTACTCTCAGTGAAGCAGCTGGATAGCAAAGACATTTCAAATTAGAGTGAAAAAGACACAAGATGTGTTTGTTCTTTGATTAGAAAATAGAGAACTCACTTGATCACCCTCCTGCGGGCGGTGATGCTGGCCACGATAACGCTCTCCGGTCTCGGGGTGGCCACAGCCTTGAAAGTCCCTTTCCAAAACTTCTCAAAGAGCTGCTTCTCTTCCAGCTGGTAGAAGCCCGCAGTGCTGCCCTGCGATCCCAGGGATGGAGAGGGGCCACTGGGACCGAGCTGGATCGAACATGGGGGCTGCATCTGTGGTTCTTCGTCTCCAAACCAAACCAACAGAGTCTACACGCTCATGGAAAATCGCACTCGCACTGGTTGTTGCTCAGGAGCTGTCCAAGTACTGAATCAAACCATGTAAAGCGCAGCAACTGTATTGCACCGTCTTCTCCTCTCGCAGCAGCAGGTCAATGTGTCAGCGCGTCTGCCTGCTTCTCACTCTTGAGGGGGAGCGTGGGGAGAGGGACAAAAGCTGACCCTCTCCAACTGGAGGCTGGGTATTGTTCTCTCAGATGAGGGAAGGAGGGGTGGGGGAGATTGTGTTTCTCTCTCCGCCTCTCCTCCTCTGTCACATCTGCTGCTTTTTGGGATGGGGTCTGGGTCGGGGTTGGGAGTCGGAGCGCTCCTTCCTTCCCTGTGTGCTCCCGTCGGCAGCTTCACACAGAATTAGGCATCACTCACAAGAGCCGGAGCATGTTTCAGTCCCGAGGAGTGATAGATCAAGTGGTTTTCTTGTTGCTGGAGTGCAATGTTTTAGTGTGGATTTGATTGTACACCTATGCGCGCTGGCTCAGGGCTGACCAGGTGTCAAGGCAAGTGATGCGCCGTGTCTGGGGGCAGGCGTGAATGTGAGCTGGAGAGTGTGTGAGTGGAAATCGAGTGCGGAGCTCAGCTGAGAGTGGCTTGTTTTGTGTCTCTCAGCCTGTGACGTCAAAGTTGGGGGCAGGACGCTGGGGAGAGGGACACCTTCTGTCATCCTCCCTCTCTCTCTCCCTCTGTCTGTGTGTTACACTTGACTTGCTCTACTATACCCTTGATTAGGTTCTCTTGTCATCCTGACGTGTGCCAGCTTCAGTTTCTCTCTTTCTTTCCCTTTTGTCTTCCTCCTTATGTCTTTCTTTCATTTTGTTCCTCTTCTTCCCTCCCTTACTAGAGCTACAGCAACTATATTGCTAATCAATTGCTAATGGGAATTGCTAATCTTTTTAAGCACAAACTTCTTCAATGTGAGGATTTCCTGCTTTTCTCTTTAAAAAAAATAAAATGTAAATGGATTATCTTTGGAGTTTTGGGCTGTTCTGGACAAAACAAGACATTTGTAAATGCTACGTTCGACTCTTGGAAGCCGTGATGTGTTTTCTTGACTATTTTCTGACTTTTAAAGGTCAAACGATTAATCAATAACGAAAATAATTTGTTTCAGCCCTACAAAAAACGTTTGCCTGAATGAGATTTCAAGGCTTTCTAGGTGTTTGTCAATCTTCTTTACCCGTGCGCCGAGTATATCTGTAGACAAAATAATGTAGACAAAAGAAACACTCAGAAACTCCTCATCCTCATTTTGTGAGTGACAGAAGGAAAACCTACCAGATACCGCCAGCTTTTTCCAGATCTCCCAGTGAACCTTTCTGTAATGTGTTATGCTGCTGTGCAATGTATTGCCTTTTTACGTCTGTTATATTGAACTTACCACCACCATGACTATTGTTGATGGTGAACGAGGCCAATGTTCTGCTAGGACCAATGATGTCTTCGTCACCATATAGCTGTATGTGAAGACGTGTTCTCTTAGCAGCTGCTCAGTTATCAAATATTGAATGATCACTGTAGGAGCAATATATTGTATAATGCAACAAAACAAAAGTACAAAAATGAACAAATATGACCACGTAGTTTCATTAACTTTCTCACCCAGCCTCATCAATAATTGAGCATTTTTATATTAATGTATTGATTGTGTAAGTGTGTAGGATGGCACTACTGTAAGGTGCTGCGATTGTCTATTCCCCAAATATAGTTGATTATTGACATGTCTACTCTACATGTAGTCTGCAATATGTTGTAAACTCTGCTAGTCTTTCTCTTTTTCTTGTTCTCTCCCCTCACACACACATGCAGTGTCTTGGACAAAAGGCTGAGTAAATCAGCATAACAAAAGGCCTGGCTCAGTGAGGACCAGCCGGAGCATGTGGCTGACACAAACCTCCCCCGGGGGGTTTCAGCTTTTCCCTGCCGTCGGATACCTCCTCCTTTCCTCTCCTCTACAGTCTGCTTCTACATGACACATAACACGGAGCAACAGCTCAACAGTCTCCACCCCAACACACCCACTCTCTTTTCCCTCTCCCATTCTACGCTCTGGCTCTAATGCTGCATATCATCTGCTGCTTGCTTCTGCTGTAACGCGTAGTGACTCTGCATGGGAATCTGGGGAGGGATTATTTACTACAGGGATGCCACCCTGTTTATGCTACAACAGACATCCTGTGTAATGCTTAAAAGGATAAATAGTATTTATAGACTTTTGGAATTGCTTGCACGCTGTCACATGAGACGGCAAACCTTGCTCATAAATTGATAGACTTAACGTAGAACGAGTTCACTTTTGTTACTGTAACATGCTTTCTGCAGAAGTAGAGGCATAATATAGAGCACACTCAAATATTTCCAAGCAATTTATGCTGGCTTTTCAAAATATAAATACTTTAGATTTCTGTTTTACCTCTAAATCACTGACTGAAACAAAAAAGATCCTCCTATTCAGATCATGTCACTTTTTACACAACATTTGCTGTTCTAAACATTTCACAATTATGTCTGGATTTTATGCTGTCTTTGAAAGATAATTGCTTGCAAGACTATGCAGATCTTTGGTTTCCCTGTTTTAACCCCTTAGCTCAGACTCAATCGCTTTGCATTACTGTCAAATCATTTGTAAATGATTTCCAATGTTCCAGAAAGCTACTGCCTTCCATTAATTTCAGGATACTATGAAATTTAACCTCCACCACAATGAACGATTAACCATCTTTATTATTTTATGATCATGCGGCACTTGTGTGTGCAGAAGTTGTGAGCAGGATATTTCTTAAAACTATCTTAAAACTGGATGGTGCATTCAAGGACTTTCAGGCCCAACAAGTCCTCTAACCTAAATGACAACATAGGTCGTTTTAACCAACCTCCAAATATGACTCGTATCCTACAATAGTGCCCCTACCAATGGCGTTTGTCCATGCCTCCCAAAACGATAATTTCCAACTCTGTTTCCCGACTAGACCTACGTTACGTAAATCATGTGACCTACGTCACATGACATAAACACGTGAAGACCGCAGCATCACGGCCGATGTGCCCAGCTGTTGGGTTCACCGGTCAACATGCATACAATCACTGACTTACGTTTAGGGTCTGGGTATCATTGGATAATCCATAATTCGTTTGTAATTCAAAAACGAAAAAACGGTAAATCTGTTATTTGTTTCAAAACTAAATAACCATTTAAAAAAAAACAATCAAAAACATTTGGTTTTTGGTTTTTGTCAATTTATTTTATGGTTTTTGTCAATTTATTTTATCGTTATCCAATTTTGAAGAATGAAGAGGGTTCTGCTTTACTTCATTCAATTTGTTTTTCGTTATAAACCAAGACCGGGCGTCACGTGGTCTGTTCCTTTCTTGGAAGTTGATGTAATAGGTAAAACATTCAAAAGAAAAGTAGGCCCATGTACAGTTAGTAAGGTGATTATATTTTTCTAAACTAAAATAACATTTTTTTAGTAAGTCTAAATTAAAACTAGATGTGAAAATAACATTTTAGATAACTGAAAACATTGACAAAACATTTGTAGGTGTAGGAGGTGTGTCAAGCATGCTAGACACTCTTTTAATGTTCAGAACTTTTTAAAGTAAAAGCTCAGTTCAACTCCAAATACAACATTACAGTAAACAAGCTTCTCGTGCTTTTATTTTGTAGGCAAAACCACAAAGTGTAAGTGATTAGGTGAGTAACTGTTGCTGTCATGACTGATATCTATTTCATCAAGTGTTTATTTATTTATTTTATTATTCAGTTTTGGTGAGGATACATAATCACAGAGAGAATTAATGCGTTTCCCTTTTCAATGTTTGTATAAACTTCATCTTTTATGTGGTTTATAATGGACTGTGGTGCAGAAACAGTGACAATGTTTCACACTCTTGGCTTACATTGACTGGCTGCTCTTGACAACACCTTTTGTGCTGTGTCAGCCACTGTAACTGTCCTGTGCTCTTTGAAACGGTAGGGGGCAGTTGGCTGCAATTCACTGCTAGATGCCACTAAATCTTACACACTGAACCTTTAAGATAACTTGAACTCTGGTGATATGAAGCTTAGGAGCATTTAATATTTTAGTTGTTATTATTCAATTTAAATTTTTGTTTTGCAACAAATTTATACTGTTTTGTTTTATATGTTTGCGTTGTACGGCCACTAGAGGTCACTGACACAATAAACGTAAACATGAGTTGAAATTTTGTGTGGAAACTAACTGGTTTCAAAATCTAGAGTAAAAAAAGAAGTTAAAAAAGTTTATTTTAATTAATTAATTTTCATTGTGATGCTAGTACATTTTTATGGAATATTAAAATAAATTGAGACCACTTGCTGCTTAAAAGACGTGGCATTAAATGTGGATTTAAACTTTTACATAAGAGGTTCCAGCATAGCATATATCTTCGGCTGATGTGCACAAGCGCAAAAATATAAGCATGCATCAGGACTACAGATTAACAAGGAGGAGACCACACGTACTTTGGTCGGTCAGTTAAGGTTTGTAGTTTTACCAGATTCTATTTCTGATGCTGGTGGAGATTGCTGGTCATAACAACAACATCAACCAGGGTGGAGAAAGGCACAGTGATCTTTTGACATATTTTGTAATGTACAGCAGTATAAAGGCATCTCCTCTGCAACCCCTCTGTATTCAAGACAGTACAACAGGAGACAAACCCATTATTGCTATTATTAAATGAAATGATTTGTTGATTAATCACGTTGGCTCACAGAAATTTTAATAATGAATGCATCAGGCATGAGCAAGCTGATAATGTAGGACACATTTGTCAAAGTGAACGACAAACAACGGGTGAAATCTGTGTATACATTTACGACATCAGAGTCATAAGGCGTGACACCAACATATAAATATAGCTTTCATCTTAAAAGTTGCCTAAAGGTAAGGTAACCCTTACTACTATTAGGGTCCATTAATTTGTCTTTCTTCACACATGCTTATGGTAAATACATCTTCTCTGGGTGACTTTGGCTTGGACATTTCTATATTTTAGAACCAATGCACTATATATTAATATATTGTATACAGGATGAACCAGGATCGTCGTACCACAATATTCCCTAGCTGTGGGTGTGAACAAGCTGTCATAAACAAAAGTTTTCCCACACTGTACACTTCTCTTTCCCCTGATGAGACGTTGTAGGCGTGGGCAGGAATTAATAACCCTCGCTGCTAATAGGTATGCATAAAGACGCGGGTACCTCGTCTGGATTAATAATGCATATATCAGCTGATAACATGAAACCTTGATGTATAACAATAGCAGCCACCTAATGATAAGTGGCTGCTTCATCAGAGTGCTTTGCATAAAGATGGAGCAGAGGCACTCTTGAATCAAACCAGAGGCCAGAGACAAGCCGGTCCAGCAAAACACATAATCTGTTTCATTTATGGCGGAGAATATCAAACAGCCATTTCTGCCACGAGATGAAGTCGAGGTTATGTTGGAGGGCTGTGCCGAGGGCAATGGGGTGGACTTCCTACTGCTGAGTGTTTTATGAAGTGCTTTTGCTAGCAGTGGTTTTAT